ACCTGGCCCCCAGGGTGCCCCAGCTGGCCCCAGCTGTCCCCCAGGTGTCCCCCAGGTGTCCCCAGGTGTCCCCAGGTGTCCCCCAGGTGTCCCCCAGGTGTCCCCCAGGTGTCCCCAGCTGTCCCCCAGGTGTCCCCCAGGTGTCCCCAGGTGTCCCCAGGTGTCCCCCAGGTGTCCCCCAGGTGTCCCCCAGGTGTCCCCAGCTGTCCCCAGGTGTCCCCAGCTGTCCCCAGGTGTCCCCAGGTGTCCCCGCCCACCTGGCGCGGCTCGGGGTGCAGCGGCTGCAGCGTCTGCGCGAAGCCGGTGACGAGGATGACGATGGCGTCGAAGGCGTCCGGGCTCGTCAGCCACTTGCGCTTCATCAGCTTCCCGAAGTGGGGCTGGGGGCGGCGCGGGGGCGTCACCGCGGCCCCGCGCCCGGGGGGCACCGGGGGCACCCAGGGGTGACGCTCGAATGCGGGCGTGGTGTCCCGGGGGTGTCACCAGGTCAGTGAGCGATGGTGGCCACCATGTCCCACAATTGTCACCCAACCAACACCCAATGGTGGCCACCATGTCACAATTGTCACCAACCCAATGGTGGCCACCATGTCCCAATTGTCACCAGTCCAATGGTGGCCACCATGTCCAATTGTCACCCAACCCAACACCCAGTGGTGGCCACCATGTCACAGTTGTCACCAACCCAATGGTGGCCACCACATTTGTCACCAACCCAACACCCAATGGTGGCCACCATGTCCCATTTGTCACCAGTCCAATGGTGGCCACCATGTCCAATTGTCACCCAACCCAACACCCAGTGGTGGCCACCATGTCACAGTTGTCACCCAACACCCAATGGTGGCCACCGTGTCACAGTTGTCACCCAACCCAACTCCCAATGTCCAATTGTCACCAATCCAATGGTGGCCGTCATGTCCCAGTTGTCACCAGCCCAATGGTGGCCACCATGTCACAGTTGTCACCCAGCCCAATGGTGGCCACCATGTCCCATGGGTGTCACCAAACCCAACACCCAATTGTGGCCACCATGTCCAATTGTCACCAGCCCAATGGTGGCCACCACAATTGTCACCAACTCAACACCCAGTGGTGGCCACCATGTCCCACAATTGTCACCAACCCAACGCCCAATGGTGGCCACCATGTCACAGTTGTCACCACCCCAATGGTGGCCACCACGACTGTCACCCAACCCAACACCCAATGATGGCCACCATGTCCCATGGGTGTCACAAACTCAACATCCAATGGTGGTCACCATGTCATAATTGTCACCAATCCAATGGTGGCCACCACAATTGTCACCAAACCCAACACCCAATGGTGGCCACCATGTCCCCCAGCACCCAATGGTGGCCACCATGTCCCAACCCAATGGTGGCCACCACGACTGTCACCAACCCAACACCCACTGACAGCCACCACCTCCCACGCGCGTCCCCGCCCCCCCAGCCCCCGGCCGCACCCACGGGCGCCCCCCGCGCCCCGGTGCCACCTTGAGGTCCTCGAAGAGGCGCCGCGTGAGGTGGTGGCCGCAGGCGCGGGTGACGCGGTCCAGCGCGGCGTGCGCCTGGCGCCGCGGCTCCTCGCTCTCGGCGTGCCCGAACTGCGCCAGCCGCTCGGAGAACGCCCTGCTCAAAGTGACACCGGGGTGACATTGAGGTGACGCCGAGGTGTCACCTCGCCCTGGGGACACGGGGGACACGCGGCGGCCTCACCGGAAGGGCGGGACGCAGTTGGCCAGGGCGATGGCGCGGGCGGCGTCGGGCGCGGGGACGTCGCCGGGGGCTTCCAGGAAGCGCTCGACCTTGCGCTGGAAGCTGGGGACAGCGCTGTCACCAACGTGGTGGCACCCGGGGGCACCCGGGGGTGTGGCCCCGCTGCCGCCACTGGGGGTGTCCCCTGGGTCCCCGTGCAGCAGGTGGGGCCCTGTCCTGTGTCACTCCCGGTGTCCCCATGTCCCTGTGTCACATCTCAGTGTCCCCATGTCCTTGTGTCACATCCCGGTGTCCCCATGTCCTCCAGAGTGTCCCTATGGTGTCCCCATGTCCCTGTGTCACTCCCGGTGTCCCCATGTCCCTGTGTCACATCTCAGTGTCCCCATGTTCTTCAGGATGTCCCCAGGGTGTCCCCATGTCCCCATGTCCCTGTGTCACTCCCAGTGTCCCCATGTCCCCGTGTCCCCAATCCTGGCCCTGGCCTGTGTCACTCCCGGTGTCCCCATGTCCCTGTGTCACTCCCAGTGTCCCCAGGGTGTCCCCATGTCCCTGTGTCACATCTCAGTGTCCCCAGGGTGTCCCCATGTCCTTGTGTCACTCCCAGTGTCCCCCATGTCCCCGTGTCCCCAATCCTGGCCCTGTCCTGTGTCACATCCCGGTGTCCCCACATCCCCCAGAGTGTCCCCAGGGCGCCCCCATGTCCCTGTGTCACATCCCGGTGTCCTCATGTCCCTGTGTCACATCTCAGTGTCCCCACGTCCTCCAGAGTGTCCCCACGGTGTCCCCATGTCCTTGTGTCACATCCCATGTCCCCATGTCCCTGTGTCACTCCCAGTGTCCCCATGTCCCCGTGTCCCCAATCCTGGCCCTGGCCTGTGTCACTCCCGGTGTCCCCATGTCCCTGTGTCACTCCCAGTGTCCCCAGGGTGTCCCCATGTCCCTGTGTCACATCTCAGTGTCCCCAGGGTGTCCCCATGTCCTTGTGTCACTCCCAGTGTCCCCCATGTCCCCGTGTCCCCAATCCTGGCCCTGTCCTGTGTCACATCCCGGTGTCCCCACATCCCCCAGAGTGTCCCCAGAGTGTCCCCACGTCCCTGTCCCCATGTCCCCCATGTCCCCGTGTCCCCATGTCCCTGTGTCACTCCTGGTGTCCCCATGTGTCACATCCCGGTGTCCCCATGTCCCTGTGTCACATCCCGGTGTCCCTGGGGTGTCCCCATGTCCCTGTCCTCATGTCCCCCATGTCCCTGTGTCCCCATGTCCCTGTGTCACATCCCAGTGTCCCCAGGGTGTCCCCATGTCCCACCTGTGCAGGAAGGCCACCAGCACGCCCAGCAGGCTGTGCGCCATCTCCCGCCCGAACTCGGGGGTCACCTGGGGGGCTCGGTCCACGTGCGCCCGCAGCAGCTGGGGGGACACGGCCACGGTGTCCCCTGGGCCTTGGGGACACGGCCACAATGTCCCCATAGCCTTGGGGACATGGCCACTGAGGCTTTGGGGACACGGCCACCACAGTTATAGGGACATGGCCACCACCACAGTGTCCCCTGGGCCTTGGGGACACGGCCACGGTGTCCCCTGGGGCTTGGGGACACGGCCACCAAGGGTGTGGGGACACAGCCACCACAGTTATAGGGACATGGCCACCACCACAGTGTCCCCTGGGCCTTGGGGACATGGCCACGATGTCCCCTGAGCCTTGGGGACACGGCCACCAAGGGTGTGGGGACACAGCCACCACAGTTATAGGGAGTGTCCCCTGGGGCTTGGGGACACGGCCATGGTGTCCCCTGGGCCTTGGGGACACGGCCACGGTGTCCCCTCAACCTTGGGGACACGGCCACGATGTCCCCTGAGCCTTGGGGACACGGCCACAGTGTCCCCTGGGATTGTGGGGACACGGCCACGATGTCCCCTGAGCCTTGGGGACCCGGCCACCAAGGGTGTGGGGACACAGCCACCACAGTTATAGGGACATGGCCACCACCACAGTGTCCTCTGGGCCTTGGGGACACGGTTACTGTGTCCCCTGGGATTGTGGGGACATGGCCACCGAGGGTTTGGGGACACAGCCACCACAGTTGTGGGGACACGGCCACCACCACAGTGTCCCCTGGGCCTTGGGGACACGGCCACCATGGGTGTGGGGACACAGCCACCACAGTTGTGGGGACACGGCCACGATGTCCCCTGAGCCTTGGGGACACGGCCACCATGGGTGTGGGGACACAGCCACGGTGTCCCCCGAGCCACCCCTGACCCCTCGTGGGTGGCACCGCGGGGTCCCCAGGGCCACCGCGGGTGGCGGGGCCGTACCCCGGTGACACGCGTGGCCGTACCCCCGTGACACGCGTGGCCGTACCCCCGTGACACGCGTGGCCGTACCCCGGTGACACGCGTGGCCGTACCCCCGTGACACGCGTGGCCAGCCCGTCCTCCGTGTCCTGGCTGGTGACATCCTCGGGCCACCTGTCCTCGCTGAGCTGCAGCTCCTGCGCCACGGCCACCTCCAGCTTGGCCTGCAGGGGACACCGGGAGGGGACAGGGACACCAGGGAGGGGACACGGTGTGGGGACAGCCAGGGGACACCGGGGAGGGGACACAGGACAGGGAACAGCCAGGGGACACCGGGAGGGGACAGGGACATGGTGTGGGGACAGCCAGGGGACACCGGGAGGGGACAGGGTGGGGACATGGCCACGGTGTCCCCTGGGGCTTGGGGACACGGCCATGGTGTCCCCTGGGCCTTGGGGACACGGCCACGGTGTCCCCTCAACCTTGGGGACACGGCCACGATGTCCCCTGAGCCTTGGGGACACGGCCACCATGGGTGTGGGGACACAGCCACGGTGTCCCCCGAGCCACCCCTGACCCCTCGTGGGTGGCACCGCGGGGTCCCCAGGGCCACCGCGGGTGGCGGGGCCGTACCCCGGTGACACGCGTGGCCGTACCCCCGTGACACGCGTGGCCGTACCCCCGTGACACGCGTGGCCGTACCCCCGTGACACGCGTGGCCGTACCCCGGTGACACGCGTGGCCGTACCCCCGTGACACGCGTGGCCAGCCCGTCCTCCGTGTCCTGGCTGGTGACATCCTCGGGCCACCTGTCCTCGCTGAGCTGCAGCTCCTGCGCCACGGCCACCTCCAGCTTGGCCTGCAGGGGACACCGGGAGGGGACAGGGACACCAGGGAGGGGACACGGTGTGGGGACAGCCAGGGGACACCGGGGAGGGGACAGGGACACGGTGAGGGGACAGGGGACACGGTGTGGGGACAGGGACACGGGACAGGGGACAGCCGGGGACACCGGGAGGGGACAGGGGACACGGTGTGGGGACAGCCAGGGGACACCGGGAGGGGACAGGGGACACCGGGAGGGGACAGGGACACGGTGTGGGGACAGGGACACGGGGTGGGGACAGGGACACGGTGTGGGGACAGCCAGGGGACACCGGGGAGGGGACACAGGACAGGGAACAGCCAGGGGACACCGGGAGGGGACAGGGACATGGTGTGGGGACAGCCAGGGGACACCGGGAGGGGACAGGGGACACCAGGGAGGGGACACGGTGTGGGGACAGCAGGGCACGGAGTCCCCGTGCCACCCCCTGCCCTGGGACTGTCCTGGTGACACTTGTGGTGGCACCACAGTGCCAGGCCCAGTGCCACCACAGGGCCCACGATGTCCCCAATGTCCTCTTTGTCCCCATTATCCCCAATGCCCCCAATCCCCCCAATCCCCCCACTGTCCCCAATGTCCCCCCTGTCCCCCATTGTCCCCATCTCCCCCAATGTCCCCATTGTTCCCGATGTCCCCAATGCCCTCAATGTCCCCAATATCCTCATTGTTCCCATTGTCCCCAATGTCCCCATTGTCCCCAGTGTCCCCCAATATCCCCAATGTCCCCAATGTCCCCATGTCCCCCATCTCCCCCAATGTCCTCAGTGTCCCCAATGTCCCCAATGTCCCCAATGTCCCCAGTGTCCCCAGTGTCCCCAATGTCCCCAGTGTCCCCAATGTCCCCAATGTCCCCAGTGTCCCCAATGTCCCCAGTGCCCCCAGTGTCTCCACTGTCCCCATTGTCCCCGGTGTCCCCGGTGTCCCCATGGCTGTCCCCATGTCCCACCGTAGTCCACCCCGGGCTCGCAGGCGCGCTCCATGCGTTGGTTGACGGTGATGGCCACGGGCTCCTCCTGGCGCTTGAAGCAGCTCTCTGTGGGGACATCGAGGGGACATCGAGGGGACATCACGGGGACATCACGGGGACATCGTGGGGACATTGCGGGGACATCACAGGGACATTGCGGGGACATCACAGGGACACGGCCACGACAAGGTGAACTGTGGCAGGGACGTGTCCCCATCACAGTCATGGCATGTGACATCTCATCACTGACGTGTCCCCGCCAGGCTCATGACGTGTCCCACCACGGCAGGGACACGTCCCCATCATGGTGACATGTGACATCTCATCAATGACGTGTCCCCGCCAGGCTCATGGCATGTCCCACCACAGCAGGGACACGTCCCCATCACAGTCATGGCATGTGACATCTCATCAGTGACATGTCCCCACCAGGGCCATGACGTGTCCTACCATGACCATGACGTGTCCCACCATGGCCAGGACACGTCCCCACTATGGTGGCATGTGACATTTCATCATTGATGTGTCCCACCATGACCATGACATGCTCCCACCATGACTGTGACTTGTCCCCACCATGGCCATGACGTGTCCCCGCCATGACCAGGATGTGTCCCCATCATAGTGACACATGACGTTTCATCATTGATGTGTCCCACCATGGCCAGGACATGTCCCATCATGGCCATGAAGTGTCCCATCACATCAATGTGTCCCACCCCGCGGGCACCGGGGACGGCGGCGGGGAGCCCGGGCGCGGGGACGGGGACGGGCACAGGGAGCACTCGGCCTCCAGCGCGATGATCTGCGCGTCGGCCGCCACCAGGTCGCGGCGCTGGATGAGCTCCAGGATCTCCAGCACTGCGGGGACACGGGGACGCGCTGGCGCGTGGTGGCACCTGGAGGTGGCACTGGTGGCACTGGAGCTGGCTGCGGTGACACCGGAGGTGGCGGCGGTGACACTGGTGGCTCCGGAGGTGGCGGTGGTGGCTCCGGCGGCGCGGGCTCCGGGGGCGGCGGTGGCACTGGAGCTGGCTGTGGTGGCACTGGTGGCACTGGTGACACTGGAGCTGGCTGCGGTGACTCTGGCGGTGGCGGTGGTGGCACTGGTGACACTGGTGGCTCTGGTGGTGGCACTGGTGACACTGGCGGTGACACCGGGGGTTTCCTGAGGAAGCGCCGCCCCGGAGGGGCCCCCCCGGGCGGGCAGGGCCAGCCCCGGTTCCGGCAGGGGACGGCGGGGGGACTGGGAGCACTGGGAGCACTGGGAGCACTGGGATGGGGACAGCGGGGCACTGGGAGCACTGGGAGCACTGGGAGCACTGGGACGGGGCACTGGGGAGACTGAGGAGACTGGGATGGGGACAGCGGGGGGGACTGGGAGCACTGGGATGGGATACTGGGGGCACTGGGACGGGGACAGCGGGAGCACTGGGAGCACTGGGAGCACTGGGATGGGATACTGGGGGCACTGGGACGGGGACAGCGGGAGCACTGGGAGCACTGGGAGCACTG